TTCAACTCCCATGTGGTGTCAGTTTAAGTCTCAGATCAACTTTGCCAAGTGCACTCTTGTACTAGGATACAGAAACGAAATTCCTTTGTGCTTTCATCAGTACCTCTGAGGAAGTCTTGGGTCCATGTAGCTCATCACAGTATTATATTGGCTATGTCATTTACTGTACAGGTGAGGGGGACTTATGGCAAGCAAAGTGACCAAATCAAGGGGCAGTGTGGGAGAGATATGTGCACAGGAAAAGGATCTAGGTAGATGTATGCAGGGAGGCAGGTAACAGCTAAGCTGGCTCCCTAATCATTATGAAGGGTCTAACATGATCCATATCGTGCTAGAGCGGTGTTTCTCAAATTGTGGGTTATGACACGATTGAGGGTTCAAACCATCCTTTCACAGGGATTGCATATGAGACTTCCTGCATACTAGATATTTAAATTATGATTCAAACTGCAACAAAATTGTAGTTATGAAGCAACCACAAAGATAATTATTTGGTTGAGTGTTCTCCACAGCATGAGGATCTTTATTAAAGTGTCACAACATTAGGACAGCTGAGAACCACTGTGCTAGAATTTAGATAAGATTGTTCAGATATGTCTAAGATTGTACCAGTAGATCCAGAAACCAGTGAAACAGAGTTTGTTTTCTCAGTGGCACATATTTGAGATTTTACTTGATTGTCTCTGGTAATGTCTCATCTTGTGTTAACCCAATTACCTTTCATCCTGCTTAAGCTACTCAAGTACATGTGTTACCACTTCCATGCATAGATCAAGTTCTTTAAAAAATTAAATATGTTTTCCTGTGTATGGGCATGTTGCCTACAATATTATGCACCATCAGCAAACAATGTCCTTGTAGGCCAGAAGAGGTAATTGGATTCTCTAGAACTTTTATTACAGATTGTTTTGAATCACCTTATGGGTGTTGTGAACTAAATACCATTTCTCTTCAATTATAGCATTGCTATTAACTGCTAAACTATCTCTCCATCCTTCTCTCCTTTCTTTCTTTCTTTCTTCCTTTTTTATTTCTCTCTCTCCCTCCCTCCCCCTCTCCTCACTCCCTTCCTACCTCTCTCTCTCTCTCTTTCTCTCTCTCTCTTTCCTTCCTTCTTTCTTCTTGTGTAACAGCACAGGTTGTCTTGAAAATTTTAAAACAATTGTCCTCTGGAGCATTAAAAATAAACTACTTTAAGCAAGAGTTTGATCAAGGGCATACCTCTCCATGCAGCTCCCCCATTTTTATTGATTTGAGTCAATAATTTTGTTTGTTTAGTTTCTTCTCTGTCCAGTCACATTCAGTAATGGCCTTCCAGGAAAGATGCTTATAAATCACCCAGTTTTCTTTAAGTGACAACTCACAGGTTATCCCCCACTGAACCACAAACTTCCAGCCAAGAAGTACAACTTAAAGAAGATTTATTGATTTGTGTATGGGTGTTTGCCTGGCTAACCATTTGTGGATGCGCAATGGGAAGTTTCAGCATGTGTCATCTATAAGAGAGCTTTGTACTGCAAAGCCTTGGAGGACATGGCCCCAGTCTCAGCCCTGGAGATGAGTGCACCTAGGGGGACATAGTAGCATCAGGTGCAGACAAATGTGTGCCAGTGAGATACAGGAGAGACACTGGCACTGTGACTCTAAGTTCTAGGTCTGTATCATCAGGTACTGCAGCATAACTCACACATGGCAAAGAGTGGTTTCCCCACACAGCACAGAAGACACACCATCTATGAGCACTAAGGACTCTCTGCATCTGACAGTGTCATCATCTGCGTGGTTCTCCAAGAAAAAGGATTAGTGTTGATATTACAAAGACCAGTGCTGGATGAAGGATCAGAGGTCCCACATCACAGCTGACTAAATATATAGGACTAGAGTGAGGACACTTGATCACTCTTGGATTGGTGATACAGAACCACCACAAAGATATCTGGGCTGGCCAGGACATCCTGTCCTAATTCAAGTGCATACAGAACAGCATTGAGCTAGGATGGGCTGTAGGGACTTCTGTTACCTAATAAGTGTGCAGTAGGGTTATTTGTGTGTTGTGCTCAAGATGGATCAGGGCTTGTGCGTGCTGCATGAATACCTTTCTACTCATCTGCACCCCAGATCTTGGTGGGACCTGCTCATCTAAAGTTATAGCAGAGCTAAAGAGATACAATAGCTTTCTACAGATCAAGATTCCCCCTTCCCTCTGCTGACATAAAATGTGTTTTTATTCTGTTTGCTCAGGTTGTCTGGCTGTCCCCCATCATCTCTATCTCAGCTATTACCATTCTGGGTCAAACCTCTACTTCTCCTTCCATGCATCCTCCCACTCACTTGCACAGTACACTTGGCTCATCAATGGGAAGCCACAGTCATCCTTCTCAAAGCTCTTCATCCCCAATATCACAACTAAATAGAGTGGATCTTATATTGCCTATGCTCAGATCTCTGCTGTTGGCCTTGATAGTATCAGAAAGATTAAAGTTACAGGTTTTGGGATATTGATTCCTGAAATGTTGAAAGCAAGCTTTGAGGTTAAATCTTGCTTTTATAGGTAGATATAGAGTTTAGTTCCAAGCCTATGACCATGGTCACAAACAAATCCCAATCCTCTCACGAGATTTCAGCTCCATCTCTTCCTCTTGTCCTTGCGTCTTTGATTTCTCTTGGGTGACCTGGAAGGGTCTTAGAATGTAAGCAGGGCTTTCTCCTAGGTGACGGAAATTCCCAAGTGAAGGGATTGCACATTAGGTGAAATATATCTTTCTTTCTGTCACTAACTCTTGCCGTCCTCTCCCCTCCATTTGCTTTCAAATTCTCCATGAGTCAGAAAGAACACCCAGAGCTTTAAACCACGCTCATGTTCCTTTACCCCAAATGCTTTTAGCTTTTTTGTTGTCTCACCTGGTGATTAGCTTCTGCTCTGATTCCAGAAGAATCAGGTGATGAATATGCCTGGGAGGCCTGTCCCGAATGAAGACAACAAAGCTTATCAATTTACAATGCAGTTACATTAACACTTTACAGTTTCTGGATTGGGCATCACAGTGTCACCCTGCTCAGTGCCTGGCAAGTGGGAAAAGTGAAACCCAAAGTAGACATCCTTGAGCTGTGACCTGTACCACAGTGGATCACAGTACTTGTAGGACCAAAGCAAATGCTCAGTGAAACTCACTTGTGGAATGGCAAATTTCCTTTCAGGTCTCCTTTTGGGGGAGGAAGAATAGTTACTAAATTTGAAACATTGTCCTAGTTAGCATTATGTGTTGCCTTGACACAGTGGATGCGAGTCTCAACTGAATAACTTGTCTTTCATATTTCAGGCTGTGATCATATCTGTGACAGATTGTCTTAATTGATGCAGGGGGGTCCAGGATATTGTGGGCAACAGCATCCCTAGGCAGATGGCTCTATGTTGTATAAGAAAGTTCACTATGACCCAAACTTTTAAGGTAAATGCAACCTTTGCTCTCCTGAACTGCTTTTGCTCAGGTATTTTTTTAAAATCACAGGTAGACTAAGAAATTTAGGACATCATGTCGGGTACAGCAGATGACACCTCTATTTGAATCAGTGTTGTCTGTACTCAAGATCAGAGCCCCTCAGCACTCAATGGGCAGGGAAAATGAATGACTTAGACACCAGAGATTGGGCAGCAAGTGTAGGTACAGACTCTACATTAGTGTTCTGTCCAGTGAATCTAATGAAAAATGTCCTAGGAATTTCCTCTGAAATTTCCTGAGCACAAGTCTCGTCCTAAGTGAGAATACCCTTCCCCCCAATTCACTCTACTTCTATCTTTAGTCCAATGCTTCCCAGGACAAATCTTGAACCATCTCTAGACCCATCCTACAGCAGAGAGAACTAGGAGTCCTGTAGACATAGTGATCAGGCTGACAGGTTCTGCATACCACCTGTACTGAACTCACCAGGGATGTTCACATTGAACTTCTTGACCATGTTTTCTGTAGCCTAAGACATGAGATTGCAGTTCTCCCATTGATACCCAGGAGGTGATATCAGGACACATATTCAACAATCATAAAATTGTTTCTCTGAATGAGGAGAGAACATTAACTTGTTGATTGGTTTCAGTTCCTGTCACAACTAACGCAGAGCTCCATCTGGTCACCCTGCTCTGTTCCTTGTGTCTGAGAGAAACTCTCTTCCTGAGGAACTAGAGAGTCAGCCCCCTCCTGGAATCTCCCATGGTGAAAGACAGGATAACACAGGGGATTCAGCTAGACAAAGGACAAAGGTAACCCTGGAAGAACAGGGAACCTATGGGCTCACCCAACACACAGGTCAACCAACACATAATCCTGGAGTGTTAACTTGAAACACTCCATAGAAAGATGGAGCCTACAGTGACTTCAGGCACACACAGGTCCCCTCTACTCCACCACCTAAAACATGCAATTCCCCAAACAACAGCTTCTGGGTTTCTCTTCTGGATCAGAATGTTGACTGGTGACACTAGTGATACAGGATTGGTCTTCATTCCTATTGATCATTCTGTTGGTCTCTTTCCCACATTCAGAAACATCTGTGTTCCTTCCTGCTGGGATAAAATAAGCCCTACCTTCCCAGAGCATTGAAAACAGTAGGCAGCCCGATCTCTCTCTGTGTCACTATGCCACGCAGTCAAGAAGGAGGTTCCCTCTGCTGCTGACAGACCCAAGTCCAAGACACAACAGGTGTCAGCCCTGGGATGAGACATTGTTCTCTGAGGCCATGGGGATGCTTATCGGCTTTGTTGCTCAATATGTTGCTTGGAGGAGAAACATAAAGGGAAGTTGAGAGGGATGAGGGACAGCACTGAGAGCAGCAGGGACAGAGCACAGCCTTGGACACAGACTGCATATCTCACAGCTCTTTGTATCCTGAGAAGTGCTCCTGCCTGGGAGGGCACTCAGCTGCGTGGGCAGACGGATAGCAGAGACTGAGCTCCTTGCTAGAGCTGAAGTTCTCCTCAGAGGGGGGACTCCATAGTTGGAAGAGAGATGGGGTTGTCCTCGGTGCTTCTCTGCAAAGAATGTACACCCTGGCAGTGGCTCCTACTCACAAGTAAGTGTACCTACTCTCTGACTATGTAGGGAAGGGAACACAGAAGCAAGTCGTCATCTCCTAAACCAGACAGGAACACAAGATGAGACTCAAGCTTACTGTATACAGTTATGGAGCAGAATGTGCAGTGAGGGACTGAGGCTTAGCACTCTGAAGCTCTCAACGTACAGGAGGAGATGAGAGAAAGAGAAAAGCCTCAAACACTCTCAGTCAGTCGCATTGGCTGCAATGTTCTGAAATATGATGTCCCCAACCATGACAGTGTGTGTTTCCTAATAGAAATTAAACAGGGTGTACCTGAGTGTCTGGAGACATGACCACCTGAGTTTAATCCTCTGCTCCCTAGATGGAGGCAACAGCCCCCTCCAGGCTCTTCTCTGACTTTCATAAGGTGTGGTGGCATGCAACCACACTTTTACACACTGGGACATTTTTCTTCACACAGATTTGTGACATACCCTTCACATGCAAACATGGAGATACTCACTTCCAGAAATACACACTACAGTACAGAATTAAATCTAAAATAATACAATTATTGACATTAACTCAAAATCTGGGAACTATGTACATAATCCCAAGAAGGCACTTTGTCCTTCCTTCCTCCCTCAGTCCCTCCCTCCCTTCTTCTTTCCTTTCTCTCTCTCTCCCTCCCTCTCTCTCCCACTCTCCAATCTTGTCTTCCTTCCTATCTCCTTCCTTCTCTCCCTCTGTCCTTCCCTTCCTACTTTCCTTCCTTCCTCTGTCCCTCCCTCTCAATGTCCCTTCCTCCTTCTCTTTCTCACTCCCTTCTTTCCTCCCTCTTTTCCTCCCATCCTTTCTTCTTCTCTTTCTCCTTTATCTATTTATGTCTAATTTTTTCCAGGAACTAAACTTTACAAACATGTCACACTAATCCCTGTCCTCACAATGCCTGCCTCTTGAGGAGTTGATGTCAGTGTATCTGCATGATGAAGTCATGGATGGACTGGAATCACAAAGGGAACAGAGAAGCATGACAAAAAGTGAGGCTCTCCAGAGGAGGAGTTCAGAGAAGCACTGATCCTCACATCAAATACTCTGTGAGCAGGGATATGGGACACTGAAGTGGGATCCAGGCAGACACTGGAGCAGAGAATTTCTCAGAGAGTTAATGACACACTCAGACACTCTGAGTCATTTTCCTCATGTCTGCAAAGGAGGGTAGACATACTCATACTGCCATATCTAAGTTGAGTGATGATCACATCTTCTTAGGATTGATGTCTTTTTCTCTTCCCTTCTAGTCTCCCTTTTAACCTGCTGGGATCTCTCCACCACTGACCATATCACGATCAGATCAGTTCCACCTCAAGTGGTCAGTGGAGAAAACGTCCTTTTCCTTGTCCACAATGTGCCAGAAGATATTCTGGCCTTTGCCTGGTACAAAGGCAAGGCAATCATGAAACATGGAATTTCACTATATTCACGGCACATGAATTTAAGTGTGACAGGGTTTGCACACAGTGGAAGAGAGACAATATATCGCAATGGATCCCTGCTCCTGGAACGTGTCACTGAGCAGGACTCAGGAATCTACACCCTACAAACCATAGATAGACAGCTAAACATTGGGTCAACAACAATCATGCGCCTTCACGTGTACCGTAAGTGATTCTTTGTGATGTTCTGGGGCATGGGTTCATTCCATTGGACATACATAAAGTGGCCTGTGTCCTCCTCCCTGTGCACTGCCTCCCTATTTTGGATCTTGAGTATTCAGTGCCGGACACACATAGTGCAGAATAATGACAATAGATCAGAATGAGACAGGTGGACACATAGTGGGTAACTCAGCCTAGGATATCTGCTTCTGTCTGGACTCTTGGGTCCTTACCAGGAATATGTCCTTGAGAAAGACTCAGAAGGAATTAATGTTGGACTTGGTGGAGGGAAATGTGGGATCCTCACAGAGTTGTGAGAACCAAGATGTCCTGAATTCAGAACTCTGTTCCAGAATTAACCCCTGCTAGCCCTGAGATTCAATCGTTTTATAAAAGTTTTGTTTTGATTTCCAGATGTCAGATGACATCCTGCACCCGTGGAACCAGCCAGTGTATTGTCATAAGTGATATTGTTAGTCTAGTCCCATGAACATCTTCTCCAGAGACTGAACACAGAAATTTTAGCTGGACAGGTGTTCAGGCCATTACCTATATGTTCTGATGGTCATATGAGACTTCTAATGAAGGTCAGGGAAGCTAAGGACAGGAATAAGAGTCATAAGTCCTCCTAACAATTATCTACAATAGAGCATGATGTCAGGGATGGTGGTACCTCCCTAAATTCCTTTATTGTATAGGTTTGTTTTGGCTATCCTGAGTCTTTTGTTTTCCAATATACAGTTATTTATCTTTCAAGGTCTGTGAAGAATTGTGTGGGTATTTTGATGGGGATTGTGTTGAATCTGTAGATTGCTTTTGGCAAGATTTCCATTTTTACTATATTGATCCTATCTATCCAAGAGCATGGAAGATCTTTCCATTTTCTATTATCTTTAATTTCTTTCTTTAAAGGCTCACAGTTCTTGCTATACAGTTCTTTCACTTGTTTGGTTAGAGCTATCCCAAGATATTTTATGTTATTTGTGGCTATTGGAAAAGGTGATGCTTCTCTGTTTTCTTTCTCAGACTGTTTATCGTATGTATATAATAGGGCTACTGATTTTTTCAAGTTTGTCTTGTAGCCTGCCACTTTGGTGAAGGTGTTTATCACATGTAGGAGTTCCCTGGTAGAGTTTTGTGTCACTTTTGTAAACTATCATATCATCTGCAAATAGCGTGAAATTTTGGCTTCTTCCTTTCCAATTTGTATCCCCTCGATTTCCTTTTGTTGTCTAATTGCTTTATCAATAACTTCAAGTAAAATATTGAAGAGATATGGAGAGAGGGCCAGCCTTATGTTGTTCCTGATTTTAGAGGAATCATGTTGAGTTTCTCTCCACTTAATTTCAGATTCGCTGGTGGTCTGCTGGATATTGCTTTTGTTATGTTTGTGTATGTTCCTGTTATCCCTAATCTCTCCAGGACCTTTATCATGAATGGGTGTTGGATTCTGTCAAAGGCTTTTTCTGAATCTAGTGAGATGATCATGTGGTTTTTCTCTTTCAGTTTGTTTATATGATGGATTACATATGTAGATTTTCATAAGTTGAAGCACCTCTGCATCCCTTGGATGAAGCCTACTTGATCATGTTGGATCATTTCTCCAATGTGTTCTTGGATTCTATTTGCCAGCATTTCATTGAGTCGTTTTGCAACAATGTTCATAACATTGATCTGTAGTTCTCTTTCTTAATTGTGTCTTTGTGTGCCTTGGTTACCAAGGTAATTGTAGTGTTGTAAAAAGCGTTTGGCAATGCCACTTCTGCTTCTATTGTGTGGAACACTTTGGGCAGTATTGGTGTTAACTGTTCTTTGAATTTCTGGTAGAATTCTGCATGAAGCCATCTGGCCCTGGGCTCTTTTTTGTTGGGAGACTTTTGATGACTGCTTTTATTTCTTTAGGCATTGGAGGTCCATTTAAATTGCTTATCTGTTCTTGATTTAATTGTGGTAAGTGATATGTATCCAGAAAATTGTGTATTTCCTTTAAATTTTTGAATTTTGTGGAGTACAGGTTTTCAAAGTATGCCCTGATGAGTCTCTGGGTTTCCTCAGTGTCTGTTGTTATCTCCCCCTTTTCATTTCTGATTTTGTTAATTGGCATGTCCTCTCTCTGCCTCTTATTTAGTTTGGATAAAGGTTTGTCTATCTTTATGTTGCTCTCAAAGAACCAACACTTTGTTTCATTGATCCTTTTTATTGTGTTCTTTGTTTCTACTTTATTGATTTCAGCCCTCAGTTTAATTATTTCCAGGCATCTACTCCTCCAGAGTGAGTTTGCTTCTTTTTGTTCTAGGGCTTTCAGTTGTATTGTTAATTGTCCAATGTGATTGTTCTCCAGTTTCTTCATGTGGCCAGCACTGCTCTTAAAATGTCCCATTAGTTTGTGTATGCTGTGTCTTCATTTTAATTGAATTCCAGGAAGTCTTTAATTTCTTTCTTTATTTCTTCCTTGACGAAGGAATGGTGCAATTGCATGTTGTTCAATTTCTATGAACTTGCATTATTTCTTCAATTTGTGTTGTTGTTGAATTCTAACTTTAAAGCATGGTTGTCTCATAAGATAAAGGGGGTTATTATAAATTTTGTACCTGTTGAGGTTTGCTATGTTCCCTAGTATGTGGTTGATTTTAGAGAAGGTCCTATGTGGTGCTGAGAAGAAGGTATATTCTTTTGTGTTTGGATGGAATGTTCTATAGATATCCGTTAAATCCAATTTGATCATAACTTCTGTTAGTTCCTTTCTTTGTTAAGCTTCTGTCTTGTCATCCTGTCTAGTGGTGAGAGTGGCAGGTTGAAGTCTCCCACTATAATTGTTTGAGGTCTTATGGTTAATTTGAATGTTAGTAATGTGTCTTTTATGAATGTGGATGCCTTTGTATTTGGGCATAGATGTTCAGAATTGAGACTTCATCTTAATGGACTTTTCTTGTGATGCATATGACATGACCTTCTTCAGCTGTTTTGATTGATTTCAGTTGGAACTCTAATTTGTTAGATACTAGGATAGCTATACCAGTGTGTTTCTTGTGCCCATTTGTTTGGAAAATCTTTCCCCAACCCTTTACTCTGATGTAATGTCTGTCTTTGAAGTTGTGTTTTGTATCTTGTATACAGCAGAAGAACAAGTTTTGTCTTCATATCTACTCTGTTAGCCTGTGTCTTTTTATAGGAAGTTAAGACTATTAATATTGAAGAAATTAAGGACCATTGGGTGTCAATTCTTGTTTGTTTTCGATTAATTGTTGTTGCTATTGTGTATGGAGACTCTGCTTTTTCTTTTTGGTTTTGGTAAATTGAGATTATCTATCCTGTATGTTTTTATGAGTATAGTTAACTTCCATAGGTTGGAGTTTTCCTTCCAGAACTTTCTGTCTTGCTGGATTAGTGGATATGTATTCTTTACATCTTGTTTTGTCATGGAATATCTTGTTTTCTCCATCTATAGTGATTGAAAGCTTTGCTGGGTATAGTAGTATCATCTGTGTCATCTGTGGTCTCTCTGTGTTTGCAGAATAGCTATCCTTGACTGGGTGGAGAGATCATAGGTACCTGTAGTGCTGGTTTTTCATCTTAGATACGGGGAAAACTATAGGAGAGGGCATAACAACCTTAGGAATGTCTTCCCAGTATCTAAGAGGTGTAAGTAAACATGTTTCACGACCTGTTTCTTGTGTCTCTGAGTCTGATGTAGCAAATTGTAGGTCTTGTAAGGCCTGCAATCTATTCACTATTATTTCTTTGAGTGCTTGAACTTCTTGGATCAAATAAATTTCTAAGTACTTCATAGAATCGGTCAATATTTTGGATTCACCATTTAAATTCGATTCCAAACATATATTATCATCCTTAGCTATTATCTGAATGGCATGTACGTTTCCTTCTTGAAACAGTGTTCTGTGTGCTAGTTTGTCAGTATCCTCAGACATGGAATGCATTTTTTTCTGTAGGATTTCCAATCTGTAGATTCAGTCTTTGAGTTTTATTAATCGAGTTATCTATCAGACATGGAGGCAGTTGTTTCTGATAGTTCTGATAGCATGTCAAGGCAATCTCACATTGTTTCTATTTTGGTCATTAACCCAGAGGTCATAAAACAAATCCTGCCTCCTAGGTGGCCATTTTTACGTTCTAAGTTACTTACTCTGTTGGTCACTTCCCTATTGTCCTCAGTATTCTGAAACCTTCTCTCTAATTTACCAATAGTTTACACAACTTCTGTGTCCTTCGCCCTATTATCAAACCCTCCCTTCCAGGATATTATATGGATTATGATGCTAAACGTTAGCATAAGATATAAATATATTTTCAGCAGGTCATAATCCTCTCCCAGGATGTCATCCATATAAGAAGCAAAAAGATCCCTAATGTTCTGCATCGTAAGATTATCCATCATTGGTATAGAGTAGTTAATCTTATTTATTATCACTAGCTTAAACTGCAGGAATGCAATGTGATTTTCTAGTCTTGGACTGAGGTGTGGATTTTTAGTTGTAGTAACTATGCTTAGCCAGAAGATGGTGCAGGTGTACCACCAAACACAGTCCCCACGCAGATGATCGTTCTGTTCAAGTAGAATCTAAAAATTCTGAATACTTTTTACAAACATTCAGCAATCAGGATTTTGTTAAGGGGGGTGGGGAATGAAAATGAGCTCCGAACTAGCTGGCAGCAGGGCACTAGCCAGCATGTCTCTGGTCTCTGTTGGTGGTGTCTAGGAAAGCAGCTAAGCAAGGGAGCATGTGTACATGAGGGACACATATGGAAGAAGCCATTGATTTCTTGGTGAGTGGGTGCCTGGCCACTGGGAACGCGTACTCGTCAAGGAACAGGAGGCTGATGGCCACAGAGTCGGGATGCACATAGGCTGCAGCAGGGTTGGGAGTTGTGCCTTCTGGGGGCAGCAGTGGCTGGAGCAAGGAGCACTCATGTCACCAGGCTCATGTGTGGGGGATGGGCGAACTTACTTCCCTTCTGACACCAGATATTGAGAAAAATTAACT